CCCTCTCCTTACGCTGGTCCCACAGGAGGTCTTACAGAGCGTCGTGAGCCTGAGTCTCGTCCTGCGTCGCCTGTTCGTACCGCTCGCACTGGTCGTCGTGTCCCACGTGAGCGTCCTCCTCCTGTCCCTGGCACTCACTACATGACTCTGCGTCCCTCCACTGCTCCGCAGCGTGTCCCGCTGCCGTCTCCTCCTGCGTCCTCCCTACCTACTCTTCCTGACCCGGAGTCTGACGCCCGTCGTGCTGCCAGTCCCACTGTTACGCGTCTCCTTGCTACCGTTGTCACTGACCCTTCTTTTGAGTCCGCCGCTGCGTCTGCTCTGGTCGCTGAGTTAGTTGACTTTGCTGCTTGCTGTCGCCTAGACTACGCTGCTAGCCTAGTGGCTGAGTCTGAGTCTGAGTCTGCCTGTCCTCCGTCCGTCGGGGGTGCGTGTGCTCTTGGCACGGACGTCCTTGAGGACAGACAGGAGGAGTTCCATTGCTTTGCTGCTGCTTTGCCCCATCTCGTGTCCATGCTAGTTGCCCCTGAGGGAGACCCGGATGCACCAGACATCCCGACCCCGCGCACTTACGCTGAGGCGATGGCGGGTCCCTACTCCTCTCAGTGGCAGACAGCCATGGACGCAGAGATGGCTTCCTGGAAGTCCACACGCACCTACGTCGACGAGGTTCCCCCTCCTGGGGCGAACATCGTCAGTGGCATGTGGATTTTCAGGGTGAAGCGGCCGCCGGGTTCTCCGCCTGTCTTCAAGGCGCGCTACGTGGCTCGAGGCTTCAGTCAGCGAGAGGGAGTAGACTTCTTCCAGACCTTCTCCCCCACCCCGAAGATGACCACTCTTCGGGTGCTGCTACACATAGCCGCTCAGCGCGACTACGAGCTTCACTCACTTGACTTCAGCACTGCTTTCTTGCAGGGCAGCCTGCACGAGGAGATCTGGCTGCGCCGCCCTCCTGGCTTCACTGGGCCGGTTCCTCCTGGCACCCAGTGGAGGCTTCAGCGGCCGGTCTACGGTCTCCGCCAGGCACCACGTGAGTGGCACGACACACTGAGGACGACACTTGCGACTCTTGGGTTCGCACCTTCTACAGCTGACCCGTCGCTGTTCTTGCGCACCGACACTTCGCTGCCGCCGTTCTACATCCTCGTGTACGTCGACGACTTGGTCTTTGCCACTGCTGACACTGCAGGACTCGCCTACGTGAAGTCGGAGCTGCAGAGGAGACACACGTGTACAGACCTGGGTGAACTGACAAGCTATCTTGGCTTGCGGATCACCCGGGACAGAGCACGGCGCACCATCACCCTGACTCAGTCGCACATGGTGCAGCAGGTTCTCCAGCGCTTCCGCTTCACGTACTCCTCACCTCAGTCCACTCCTATGGCTACCGGTCACTCGCTCTCAGCTCTGCCTTCGGATGAGTCCGTAGAGTCGAGTGGCCCGTACCCAGAGCTTGTGGGCTGCCTCATGTACCTGATGACCTGCACTCGACCTGACCTTGCATACCCTCTTAGCATCCTTGCACGCTATGTCGCTCCTGGCCGTCACAGGAAGGAGCACATGGATGCCGCTAAGAGGGTGTTGCGCTACTTGTGCAGTACGTCGGGCATGGGGCTTGTGCTTGGAGGGCGAGACCGAGTTGTTCTCACAGGGCACTCAGACGCTTCTTGGGCAGACGACCAGGCCACTCAGCGGTCGTCTCAGGGTTACTCCTTCAGCCTTGGCTCTGGCTCAGTTTCTTGGCGCTCTACACGCTCTTCTTCTGTTCTCAGCTCCAGTTGCGAGGCTGAGATCTACGCCACAGCCATGGCTGCCCAGGAGCTACGCTGGCTGACCTACCTGCTGACCGACCTTGGGGAGCGGCCTCGTTCTCCTCCAGTGCTGTACGTCGACAACCAGGCAGCCATTGCCCTGTGTGAGGAGCACAGACTGGAGCACAGAACGAAGCACATCGCTCTGCGGTACTTCCTTGCTCGAGAGCTGCAGCAGCGAGGTCAGCTTCGTCTGCGTTACGTGGCCACCGAGGCCAACCTTGCTGATGTGTTCACCAAGGCACTTCCGCCTGTTGACCATCAGCGCTTTTGTACTCTTCTGGGCCTTGTGCCTACTGGACCTCACTTGCTCACTTCTTGACCTTGCTTATACTGTGATCATTATATATATATGCCTGCATGTCTACTCTTGCTAGGTTGTGATCATTGTATATCATGATCTGTTATAAACTTGCATGTGAACTGGGCTTGTGACCGCTAGTTTGTGCTCGGAATTTGTGTGGAACCCTTGAGGTCCACCCTGAGCTTGTTGTTGTCTTGCTTTGCCTTGACTGGTCTTGTGACCCCTAGGTCTTCCCCACTTTGCCTATGGGGGTGTGTCAAACATTATATGTTTATATTGTTCTAGGCTGTAGTGGGTGATACCTTAGGGGGTATACCAGGTTAGGGTTTCATATTTGTACTGTTGTTCCTGTTAGTCACACCATTCCTGCTCAGTTATTTCTGACAGCTGCTGCTGCTGTAGATGCAGCGGCGGCTGCTGCAGAAGATGCGGCAGATGCTGCTGCTGTAGCTGCAGCGGCGGCTGCTGCAGTAGATGCGGCGGCTGCAGCTGCTGTAGATGCAGCGGCGGCCGCGGCAGGAGAGGCGGCGGCGGCTGCTGCAGCAGTTGCGACGGCCGCGACTGCAGTCTCTGCCGCGGCTGTTGCTGCAGGCCCGACCGCGGCGACGAAGGCGCGGGGGGTCGAGCGCAGCACACAAGGCGCGCGGGCAGCGCGACGGGCCGCGCGCGAAGAAAAAGAACCGCGCGCGCTGGCGGCTAGCCAGGCGCGCGTGAAAAATGGCCGCGCGCGGGCTGCTGGCTGGTCGCGCGCACGAAATAGGCCGCGCGCGGGCGGCTAGCAGATCGCGCGCGGTAAAAAAAAGATGGCGCACTAGGGGCGCAATAGGAGGCGCACTAGGGGCGCAATAGGAGGCGCACTAGGGGCGCTTGATAGGTATGTAGGTAGGTAGGTAGGTAGGTGGGCCCTTAAGAACGGTCCTAGGGAAGGACCTGCTCTGAAACCATGTCAAGATTACGAGACTGGAATGGTTGAACTAACAGAGAAATCAGTACAAATGGCAAACCCTAGAATTGTGTACCCCATATAGGCTAACCCACTGTAGCCTAACAAACCCAACATATATAATGTTTGACACGTTTACCTGCGCACTCTCTTTTACAACTCATAACACCTGGTATCAGAGCTACTTTCCTAGTTCACCCCGCTTTTCGAGGGTAGTTTGGTGGCACGGGTGTGGCTGGTTTAGTGACTACACGACGGTTGGCTGCAGGGATTGTTAATTCAATCCTGCCCGACTCCGATAGTTCGTGTTTTCATTTGCCTGAAGGCCACGGGTACCCGACTGCCCACCAGACGTAGTGCTAGGCACATGGATCAGGAGGCTGATAACAAGCTGATGGCGCAAGTGGCAGAAATGCAGGAGGGCATGAAGTCATTAATGGCGGAAGTAACAACCGTGCGAGAGGAAAACGCCGAGCTACGCCAGACGCGAGGTGAAGCGCGTCAGGAGTCGCCTGTGGACGAAGGCGAGGGCAACAGTCAGGCGATGAGCAATCCACTGGATGCGCTGACACGTGACTTCGAAGAAAAGGATAGGCAGCGAGCGGCAGCAGCGCCAGTTGCAGTAACGACGATCAAGATCAAGTCCGTCAACCTGGCCCCGTTTAATAATACAGACAAGACGACTACAGTGAAGGGGTGGCTGTTCGGTGTCGAGGTCTTCTTCACGGCAGCAGGCGTTAACGACGATGCCACGCGTATTAATTACGCGGTTTCGCTTCTTCGGGGCGCGGCGCTTGAGTGGTGGCGCCGGACCTTGGAAACAGGGACGCCGACAGGTGTGACACATGCGGCAGACGGGACCTCTGCGGCAACTAATCAAGTGGCAGAATCAATCTTTGGTGTGACCACGATACGCACGTGGAAGGAGTGGGGCGCAGCCTTGCGAAACCGCTTCGAGCACATATCCGCCTCGCTCGACGCCTCGCCACTTGTTGGTAATTACCTGGCGCGCAAGCGTGTTTCGGATATTGACCGCCTTTCTTAAGGGGGGGGGGGAGGGGGGGGGGGTAGTGTAAGGAATTTTCCCGAATTCCTTATCGGGGTTGACTGCTTCGCGTACAACCCGATTTTCGGACTTTGCACGTTCGGCCGATTTCAACGCTGCCGAGGCTCCTCGCGTCGCCTTCGGCATTTCCCGTCGCCCAACCTGCACCCAACCTCGCTCGTCCGAGGTTCCCTCCTAGCTAGGCTAGCCCTACATTAGTCTGTGCATTCATTGTATTCTCAGTTCATTCAGTCACAGCCTCGTTATTCGTTTAAGTGCGCACTCTCTTTTACAACTCATAACAACAACTCATAACAGTTTATACCTAATTGCGTCAGCTTGAAGATTCGTACATGTCATCCTGAAGCCGTTTTGAAATTCAAATCGTGAAAACTTGAGTCGACCAATGGGAGCTGCACTCGCCCCAACCAGAAGCGCGGATGAACCAAGATTCTGGCCCTCGCCTTCATGCTATCGTAGGGCTGTTATGGATTTCCATGTGAAGCCTTCTCCAACGAAGCCCACTGCCCAAGGCGTGTTGCTGCTTGCAGCGTCTTATTCAGCGTGCTGTCCCAGTCGCTTCACACATTTGAAGAAGCTCGAAATCCAGCTGCCGAAACGGTGTTCATGCGGGCCACATGCCGATTGCAGCCCAAGCCCAGTCCGCTTGTAACTAGCTATCCCTTCCAAAGCGCGTACCGTTTCCTCACGGCGTGCGCAGCAGCGCGCGCCTCGGCGAGTTGCGACGGATATAACGCCAACGTGCAGCGCTGCGGTGACGCTGACCGCCAAGGGCTGTCGAATCGAACGGCCCTTGCTAAGCGTTTTTGTTTCGAACGGCGTGCTGTGCGTGCAGCTTTGAGTTCGCGCCGTGGACGCCGCGTGTGAGAGCTGAGCATGGCGAGCGGCGGCAAGGTGTCGTCGTCGGACGCGGCGTACCAGCTGCTGCTGAAATGCGCCAAACACGGTGCGCGCCGCTACCCTTGCTACTCGCGCTTCAAAAGTCTTAATGGCTCAATCTCGTATGTGTTCACTGCGTTCTGTGGTGTTGCCTAGAAACGATTCGGGATCGAATCTCTGAGTCGCTTCATTTAGTAACGCGATCGGCGCACAGGCGATCGCCTCTGGTGTTCAACGCGACGGAGAGCATTTGCGACGAATCTATACTGTGCCCGTGTGTCACCCCTCGTATCCCCGCTATAAGCAGGACGAGGCAGGGCTGTGGCGCTCGCGGGCTTGGCGGCGCAGAGGGAGCGGCAGCAGGCGCAGGAGCAAATGGAGGAGCGGAAGCGACGGCAGGAGAAGGAACGGAAGGAGCGGGAGAGAGACGAGCGGAAAGCGAGAGAAGGAGGAGGGTCAGCGCTTCCCAGCACCTTGTCGAACGGGCAGTTCAAGGCGGACGCGGATTTAAGGCTGAAGCGGCCCATATCGCGCCAGTTGTTCTGCGACGACCTTCAAGTTGACGACGGTGAGTCGCGCGCCATTTGCGACTGCTGCAGCCTTCCCGCGCCCTCATGATCCTCTCGCTATCATGCTCCCGATTCTGTTTCCTTGTTCTTTTCCCTCCTGTCTCTCTTCTTCTTTCCACGAATGCATCGGTCACACTGCGGCACTCAAGTGGCACGCGCATCATCATCACTCAATGTCGCAGCACCGCTCGTGCATCCGCTGTGACTGCTCACGCAGCCAGCGCCGTGAGTGCGCGCCGTGAGTGTGCGCCGTGAGTCACGTGACTGTTCGAGCAAAGGCCCCTTTACCCCCCTTCCACCCGAGCAAAGGCCCCTTTACCCCCCTTCCACCCGAGCAAAGGCCCCTTTAGCCCCCTTCCACCTTTTCATCTTGCTTCACCGTTCCATGTCGGTGTCTATGTGCGGCGGAGTGGCAGGTGTGTGGCGGCCCGGACCTAAAGGCGCGTGCAGGCCGCAACCGCAGCAGGCGAAGCGCCGGCTGCAGATGGATGCTGACGTGGACAGCAGGATTGACGAGAGGGGCGCGAAGGTGCAGCGAAGCTACGTGCTGCAGCAGGTGGGGCAGCAGCGCGGGCAGGCAGGGCGGTCGCGAGGCGAGGAGGCGACGGGTGGGCAGAGCGGGACTCGCGAGCACGCTGGGGCAGTGGAAACGGGCCCGGGGAGCAAGCAGGCGGGTGTGGGGCATGGTGGGGCGTGGGCGTGTGAGCATGATGCAGGGAAGTCTCACGGCGGAGGGGTGGGGGGAAACGAGTGCGTGGCGGAAGTAGGGGAAGGTGGTGCTGCAAGGCACTGTGGTGGCGGGGGGGATGCGGCACGGCACAGCCAGGATGGGCGCCATTATCGCATAACACCACGATCAAGGATAGGGTGCGCCGCTCTTCTTCTCTCGCGTCTCCCTCTCCTACTCGCCTCTTCTCGCTCCTCTCCTCGCCTTCGTTGATCGTGCACGTTCTGCGCTTCTCTTCTCTCTTCTCTCCACCTTACTCTCCCTCCCTTCCACCCGCAACAAATGTTTCTCTCTCTTCCATTCCTGGTCACTCTCCCCCACCGCCCCGTTTCCCTCACTCGTGTGTCCCCGGGCCACGCGTGCAGCGCATGCCCCGTTGCTATCCACATCTCCCTGGACCTTCTTTCTTCTCTGTATCCACCCCACCCTCCTCCCCTTTCCCTTTTCCCAACTATTAGCCCTCCTTTTCCCCCGCCCCACCACCAGTCTCCTCAACAGCAGAAGCGATGCAGTCAACATGTGTTACGTCAACGCCACACTGCAGGCCCTCGCCTCCCTCCCGCCCTTCCTCTCCCACCTCCTCCACCTGCCCCTCCCCGCCTCTCTCGCCCGCTCCTCCTCCCTCCGCCTCCCAGTCACCACTGAGCTTCAGCGGCTGACGTGGCAGCTGCTGGGCCTGCCACATGGCGACAGCAGTGGCGCCACTGTGGGGAGCATCGGTAGCCGATTGAGGGGGTTAGCGGGTGGCGTGGCGGATGCGCGGGCTGTAAAAAGGGCAGTGGGGCGAAGCGCTGCCATCTCTCTGGGCCAGGAACAGCAGGTGAGAGCAGCAGGTGAGAGCAGCAGGTGAGAGCAGCAGGTGAGAGCAGCAGGTGAGAACAGCAGGTGAGAGCAGCAGGTGAGAACAGCAGGTGAGAGCAGCAGGTGAGAACAGCAGGTGAGAGCAGCAGGTGAGAACAGCAGGTGAGAACAGCAGGTGAGAACAGCAGGTGAGAGCAGCAGGTGAGAGCAGCAGGTGAGAGCAGCAGGTGAGAACAGCAGGTGAGAGCAGCAGGTGAGAACAGCAGGTGAGAACAGCAGGTGAGAACAGCAGGTGAGAACAGCAGGTGAGAACAGCAGGTGAGAACAGCAGGTGAGAACAGCAGGTGAGAACAGCAGGTGAGAACAGCAGGTGAGAACAGCAGGTGAGAACAGCAGGTGAGAGCAGCAGGTGAGAACAGCAGGTGAGAGCAGCAGGTGAGAACAGCAGGTGAGAGCAGCAGGTGAGAACAGCAGGTGAGAACAGCAGGTGAGAACAGCAGGTGAGAGCAGCAGGTGAGAGCAGCAGGTGAGAGCAGCAGGTGAGAACAGCAGGTGAGAGCAGCAGGTGAGAGCAGCAGGTGAGAACAGCAGGTGAGAGCAGCAGGTGAGAACAGCAGGTGAGAGCAGCAGGTGAGAACAGCAGGTGAGAACAGCAGGCGAGAGCAGCAGGCGAGAGCAGCAGGTGAGAGCAGCAGGTGAGAACAGCAGGTGAGAACAGCAGGTGAGAGCAGCAGGTGAGAACAGCAGGTGAGAGCAGCAGGTGAGAACAGCAGGTGAGAACAGCAGGTGAGAGCAGCAGGTGAGAACAGCAGGTGAGAACAGCAGGTGAGAACAGCAGGTGAGAACAGCAGGTGAGAACAGCAGGTGAGAACAGCAGGTGAGAACAGCAGGTGAGAACAGCAGGTGAGAGCAGCAGGTGAGAACAGCAGGTGAGAGCAGCAGGTGAGAACAGCAGGTGAGAACAGCAGGTGAGAGCAGCAGGTGAGAACAGCAGGTGAGAGCAGCAGGTGAGAACAGCAGGTGAGAGCAGCAGGTGAGAGCAGCAGGTGAGAACAGCAGGTGAGAGCAGCAGGTGAGAGCAGCAGGTGAGAGCAGCAGGTGAGAGCAGCAGGTGAGAACAGCAGGTGAGAGCAGCAGGTGAGAACAGCAGGTGAGAGCAGCAGGTGAGAACAGCAGGTGAGAGCAGCAGGTGAGAACAGCAGGTGAGAACAGCAGGTGAGAACAGCAGGTGAGAGCAGCAGGTGAGAGCAGCAGGTGAGAGCAGCAGGTGAGAACAGCAGGTGAGAGCAGCAGGTGAGAACAGCAGGTGAGAACAGCAGGTGAGAACAGCAGGTGAGAACAGCAGGTGAGAACAGCAGGTGAGAACAGCAGGTGAGAACAGCAGGTGAGAACAGCAGGTGAGAACAGCAGGTGAGAACAGCAGGTGAGAACAGCAGGTGAGAACAGCAGGTGAGAACAGCAGGTGAGAGCAGCAGGTGAGAACAGCAGGTGAGAGCAGCAGGTGAGAACAGCAGGTGAGAGCAGCAGGTGAGAACAGCAGGTGAGAACAGCAGGTGAGAACAGCAGGTGAGAGCAGCAGGTGAGAGCAGCAGGTGAGAGCAGCAGGTGAGAACAGCAGGTGAGAGCAGCAGGTGAGAGCAGCAGGTGAGAACAGCAGGTGAGAGCAGCAGGTGAGAACAGCAGGTGAGAGCAGCAGGTGAGAACAGCAGGTGAGAACAGCAGGCGAGAGCAGCAGGCGAGAGCAGCAGGTGAGAGCAGCAGGTGAGAACAGCAGGTGAGAACAGCAGGTGAGAGCAGCAGGTGAGAACAGCAGGTGAGAGCAGCAGGTGAGAACAGCAGGTGAGAACAGCAGGTGAGAGCAGCAGGTGAGAACAGCAGGTGAGAACAGCAGGTGAGAACAGCAGGTGAGAACAGCAGGTGAGAACAGCAGGTGAGAACAGCAGGTGAGAACAGCAGGTGAGAACAGCAGGTGAGAGCAGCAGGTGAGAACAGCAGGTGAGAGCAGCAGGTGAGAACAGCAGGTGAGAACAGCAGGTGAGAGCAGCAGGTGAGAACAGCAGGTGAGAGCAGCAGGTGAGAACAGCAGGTGAGAGCAGCAGGTGAGAGCAGCAGGTGAGAACAGCAGGTGAGAACAGCAGGTGAGAGCAGCAGGTGAGAGCAGCAGGTGAGAACAGCAGGTGAGAGCAGCAGGTGAGAACAGCAGGTGAGAGCAGCAGGTGAGAACAGCAGGTGAGAGCAGCAGGTGAGAACAGCAGGTGAGAACAGCAGGTGAGAACAGCAGGTGAGAGCAGCAGGTGAGAGCAGCAGGTGAGAGCAGCAGGTGAGAACAGCAGGTGAGAGCAGCAGGTGAGAGCAGCAGGTGAGAACAGCAGGTGAGAGCAGCAGGTGAGAACAGCAGGTGAGAGCAGCAGGTGAGAACAGCAGGCGAGAGCAGCAGGCGAGAGCAGCAGGCGAGAGCAGCAGGTGAGAGCAGCAGGTGAGAACAGCAGGTGAGAACAGCAGGTGAGAGCAGCAGGTGAGAACAGCAGGTGAGAGCAGCAGGTGAGAACAGCAGGTGAGAACAGCAGGTGAGAGCAGCAGGTGAGAACAGCAGGTGAGAACAGCAGGTGAGAACAGCAGGTGAGAACAGCAGGTGAGAACAGCAGGTGAGAACAGCAGGTGAGAACAGCAGGTGAGAACAGCAGGTGAGAGCAGCAGGTGAGAACAGCAGGTGAGAGCAGCAGGTGAGAACAGCAGGTGAGAACAGCAGGTGAGAGCAGCAGGTGAGAACAGCAGGTGAGAGCAGCAGGTGAGAACAGCAGGTGAGAGCAGCAGGTGAGAGCAGCAGGTGAGAACAGCAGGTGAGAACAGCAGGTGAGAGCAGCAGGTGAGAGCAGCAGGTGAGAACAGCAGGTGAGAGCAGCAGGTGAGAACAGCAGGTGAGAGCAGCAGGTGAGAACAGCAGGTGAGAGCAGCAGGTGAGAACAGCAGGTGAGAACAGCAGGTGAGAACAGCAGGTGAGAGCAGCAGGTGAGAGCAGCAGGTGAGAGCAGCAGGTGAGAACAGCAGGTGAGAGCAGCAGGTGAGAGCAGCAGGTGAGAACAGCAGGTGAGAGCAGCAGGTGAGAACAGCAGGTGAGAGCAGCAGGTGAGAACAGCAGGTGAGAACAGCAGGCGAGAGCAGCAGGCGAGAGCAGCAGGTGAGAGCAGCAGGTGAGAACAGCAGGTGAGAACAGCAGGTGAGAGCAGCAGGTGAGAACAGCAGGTGAGAGCAGCAGGTGAGAACAGCAGGTGAGAACAGCAGGTGAGAGCAGCAGGTGAGAACAGCAGGTGAGAACAGCAGGTGAGAACAGCAGGTGAGAACAGCAGGTGAGAACAGCAGGTGAGAACAGCAGGTGAGAACAGCAGGTGAGAACAGCAGGTGAGAGCAGCAGGTGAGAACAGCAGGTGAGAGCAGCAGGTGAGAACAGCAGGTGAGAACAGCAGGTGAGAGCAGCAGGTGAGAACAGCAGGTGAGAGCAGCAGGTGAGAACAGCAGGTGAGAGCAGCAGGTGAGAGCAGCAGGTGAGAACAGCAGGTGAGAACAGCAGGTGAGAGCAGCAGGTGAGAGCAGCAGGTGAGAACAGCAGGTGAGAGCAGCAGGTGAGAGCAGCAGGTGAGAACAGCAGGTGAGAACAGCAGGTGAGAACAGCAGGTGAGAACAGCAGGTGAGAACAGCAGGTGAGAACAGCAGGTGAGAACAGCAGGTGAGAACAGCAGGTGAGAACAGCAGGTGAGAACAGCAGGTGAGAACAGCAGGTGAGAACAGCAGGTGAGAACAGCAGGTGAGAACAGCAGGTGAGGTCAGCAGGTGAGGGCAGCAGGTGAGAGCAGCAGGTGAGAGCAGCAGGTGAGAGCAGCATCTCTTTCCTCCTCTCTCATTATCCCACCCCGTCCCTTCCCCCCTCAGACCCCCATCTCGCCCTTCCTCAAACCCTTCTCTCACCCCCCCTCCCCCCTTCACACCCCCCCATCTCGTCCGTGCCCATCAGGATGCACACGAGTTCCTGAGCGCGCTGCTGCACTGCCTTGCCTCTGAAGCCGCCACCATCGCCGCTGCCGCTGCCTCTCCCGCCCACGCCCACACGCCCACCCTCGCCCATGCTCCCGCTCACACCCACACGCTAACCCCGGTTGAAGGCTGGGCGGGGGAAGGAAAAGAAGGAGGACTGAGGAACGAGGGAGAGGGCGGAGGAGAGAGGGAAGAGAAGGATGGAGGCTGGGACGAGAGGGTGGAGAAGGCGAGCACTGGAGACGGCAGTGGCTGTGCTGTTGGCAGCAGTTTCCTGTCAACGGTGGGGGTGGTGAGGGAGTGCGAGGGGTGTGGAGGGAGAGAGAGTGGAGAAGAGGAGTTCCTCTGTCTCTCACTCCCTATCCCCTCCTCCTACCCCTCCTACCCTGCCTGCCCTGCTCCTCACTCTACCACTGCTGCATCTGCAGTTGCTGCTGCTCCTGCTGGCTCTACTGCTACAGTACGCAGCGGTGGGGGTAGCAGAGGCAGTGATACCGATCCCAGTGCTGCTGGCACTGCTGCCTCGCTCACTCACCATCCGCTCTCAGCACTTCTGCAACACTTCTTCCAGGTACCACGAATCGTGTGCTATTCATTCTTATCCATGTACTTTCTTATTTGCACCAGGTAAATCCCATTTCATTTTCTTGATTTCTTGCTGGTTCTGTTTGTTCCCCTGTGCCTCCAGGACGAGACAGTACAAGGCAGGGTATGCACCCACTGTCACCGCTCTGCACCGTGCCGCATCTCCCGAGCCTTTTTGCAACTGCCACGCATCCTCATACTCCATCTCAACCGATTCAAAACCACCTTTCACCCCATTCCATGCATTGAGAAGCCCACTATGTGTCACGAGGAGCCCGCTGCCTCCCTTGGCAACCCCCAAGGCGGCAGCACCATCCCACCGCCTCCATCGTGCCAACCACCCGCCTCTCCGTCTCCTCCGATTGCTCAACACACACGCCCCCTCGCATCCCGCCCTCCTCTTCACCCTTCCCCTCCATTCCCTCAAGAGAGCCCACTTTCCATGCCAGGAGCAACAGCTCCGCCCTCTGCTCCGACTGGGAAGGCGCCTCATGCTACAACCGACCCCGCCTCTTCTCGCTCCCCCCCTTCTCCTCTTCTGCGTGCTGCTGGGGCTCCGTCGCTCAACCCCTTCTCACTGGCGAAGGCTGCAGGCAGGCCAGTGGTGTTGAAGGAGGTGGCTCCTAAGGGGCTGGTGTGTGCGCTCCAGGGTGGCGGCCGGCCGATAAGAGGTGTGAGTGAGGTGGGTGTGGATGCGGAGGGAATGGACACTGGGGAGAGCGTGGAGCGGCAGCTGGCTGACAGAAGAAACAAGAAGCTTAAGGGCAGGGAGGAAGAGCACAATGAGGGGCAATGGGGGGAGGGCGAGGCTAGGGAGTGTGGGGAGGAGGAGGAGGATTGGGCGGAGCTGCTGGAAGGAGCGGCTGGTGTGATTGGGGAGGGTGCTGGTGATGGTGGTGATGACAGCCGTGTGAGCGAGATGGTGGATGGTGGCATCAGCAGAGTGGGTGGTGGTGCTGGCATGGAGGAAAGGGAGGCGAGAAGGGGGCGGTACGAGTGCAGGAAGAATGTGGACCAGGTGGAGATTGCCACGACACTTGACGTGGGTGAGTGCTGCCACGTGGACATCACTATGCCGCCATATTGTGTTATCTCCACCCATTGTCTCCGCTTGCACCATCTTGTGCTGCTATAATGTGCATTGATTCTCTCTGTTTATACTTCTCTATTATGCTGCTAACTTTGCTGTTCACCACATCAGGTCCCTTTTGCGCACCAGCAATGCAGGAGACTATCTCTCAAGGAGAAAAGGTGAGCCTATCATATTGCTCAGGCTCGGAAAGGAAGTGCGTTAGCAAGAAAAAAATCGTTTCTGCTGTATAATTGGTTGGGGAGTGTTGAGAATATTTTCTTGCTGCATTTTTCTTTACTCCTCTACTCCTTTAACCCCACTTCTGCGATGGACGTGAGCACGGCAGCATGCCACTGTCTCACTTCCCCTGCCATCTTTCACTTCATGTGACGTTGCTTCCACCTCCCTCTCTTTCAACTGAACCACAGCCACGTGGCAGCTCCCTATTCGCTCTGCGGGCCGTGGTGCGACACACAGGGACCTCCGTGGCGCACGGTCACTACATAGCTGACGTGGCGGATGACAGCCTGTCACCGCCTGGTTGGACGCAGCTCGATGATGGCGCCGTGATGAGAAATGTGAGTTCTTCTGACAACGTTGACAGCGATCTTGTGTGGACGCATGTTGCTGCAATAGCAATTATTCTCCCCCTCGCACCAGGCTATTCTTGCCTACAGGCCCCAAAAACCTCTACATAAGTGCTCACCTTCGTGCCTCTCCTTGTGCAATACTTCTCTCTTCAAATTTAACCTGCAGGTACCAGAGTCTGATGTTACTGCCTCTCAATCCCAGAAGGAAGCCTATATGCTCTTCTATGTACAAATGGATTCATGACCAGATGCAGATTTGTGTACTACATCGTATAAATTAAGGTACACTATACGAAGAGCCCATGTACAGTACACCATAGCCTACGTGGGTCCAAGGTTTCTCATCTCATATCAAACTATCCTATAAGTTGGACTAGAATATGAATAGATGAACGACGCTTGCAAGTGTTGGTCTTCCAAAAATCTAACTAACGACAACAAGAGCCAATTGGTTGAGCTTGGTTGTTTCGCTTGAGAATAATGACATGGTTTATAGACCAGCATGGTAGTCTCTTGCTGAAACGGTTCGTGCATTCCAAACGGAACCAACATCTAAACTGTATAGCGAGATCTGAACCTCCAGGAGTTCTTCGGTCAGTCGGTATCCCCTGGGTGTTGAACCGCACATGTGCACTCAGTTCCGCCACACCGCGACTAGAAATCGCGATTTAACTTCCGAGGACGTTCCCCTGGTTAGAGAGATTCACAAAAGAAAAAGAATACCCTTGAAATTAGAAACAAATACTTTACTACTCTGTTATTTTTAAATCCGTAGGATAAATACCGCAGTCGATATCAAATCATCCCGCCTTCCTGATCCACCCCATCCGAATCACCAAAGAGCAAGAAACGAAGGAAATTGGATTGTGGTGAGAGGCGATCAGACAGCACAGCGCTGTTGAACACGACGGAGCAACGGCATAAACTGCAATGAGTAAAGAAGAGAGGAGAGGCAACTGGCGAGAGATCAGAACTGCAGAAGCAAGATAGCAGCCATAATATATTACATTACCAGAAGTTATTATCCGTAGTACCGTACTCCAAGCGAGCGCACTTGCTTTCCCAATCCCTTTTACCTGGATTACCTTAAACCTGAGGTAGTGCTATGGCGTGTTGGCGCATGAATGACCTTCCCGACGAGCTTCTCATCGCCATCTTCTGGCCCTCCAACCGCCTCTCCTCTGGCCACCCCAACGACGAGGCTCTGTGGACCACCGTGCGGCCCACCCCGAGGTTCATTCGCGAAAGTGCAGACGAGCCACGTTACCAGCAGAGCGATACCATGTTTCCGAATCCCCCTCTTCCTCCAGCGTATGCCGACGCCGCGTACAATCTTCTCCTTGCGTCGATCTGCCACCGCTGGCGTCGCCTAGCGCAGCGCCACGTGTCCACGCTGCTCATCAGGGAGGGCCGCGCCGTGTCTCGCGAGGATCTCGGCGCGGCGGTGGCGTGCTTCCCACACCTGACGCACCTGCATCTCAGCGACGGCAGCGCGCAGCCCATCGACGACGCCTTCCTCGCGCGCCTCGCGGCGTGCTGCCCCAAGCTGACGGCGTTCCATCTGGGGAGGGCCATCGTGCAGAACCCCGAGTACGACCCGCCGGGAGACACCTTGCTCACGCCCGCCGGCTTCGACGCGTTCTTCCGCGGGTGCACGCAGCTGGAGCACCTGTCGCTGGGCTGCCTGCACTGCGATTTCGGGTTACCACCTTCGCTCTTCCAGCTCGTGCATCTCCGTTCCCTCGCGGTCGCCGATCTGTCCGCGGTGACGACGCCAGAAGTGAAGATCTTGAGCGCGCTCACGGCGATCGCCATCGACACGGCGGTGTGGGATTTCGACGACCTCGAGCCGCTCGCGCACCTGCCGAGCCTCACGTCCCTCTCCGTGCGGCACGAAGTCTCGCTTTTATCAAGCAACGTTCGCCCTCGACCGTTCTCCTTCGCGCGCCTATCATCGCTCAGGTCGTTGGATCTCGGGTCCAGCCCCTCTCTGCCGTTCGATGTGATGTTTCCGTCAGGTTCCCCGTGCAGCGTGCTGGAGCGCGTGTCGCTGTACCAGTGCGACGAGCTTCGGAATCTCCCGCACGACATCGCCGAGCGCCTGCCATGCCTGCGCGAGCTGAGCATCAGCGCGTGCGACACCTTGCTGGAGCAGCCCGAGGCGGTCACGTTGCTCACCGGGCTGCGCGCCTTGACGCTCGCTAGGTGCCCGTTCGACGAACTGCCAAACAACTTCGGAGAGTTGCCTCGTTTGACCACGCTCGTGCTGCACAAGCTGAACGTCTACTTCCCCGCCTCGTGCGGCCGGCTCAAGGCCGTGGAGACGCTGGTGGTGTCGGAGTGCACGGATCTCCACGAGCTACCGCACCCGCTCGCCGCCCTCACCGCGCTCACCACCCTGTGCCTCGCGGGCTCTCCCTTCGTGGTTCTCCCTAACGACATCGGGGGTCTCACCAACCTGCACACCTTGTTCCTCAAGACGTACAGGGCGCGCGGAACCCTTCCTTCCTCATTCACCCGCCTGGCGTCGCTTGCACGCCTGGAGCTGCACGAGTGCAAGCTGGACGAGCTGCCAGAGGCCATGGGCGAGTTGAGGCGCCTGCGCGAGCTGTACGTGCTGTCGTGCCCCCAACTTCAGAAGCTCCCAGAGTCCGTGGCAGCGCTGCTGAGCCTAGAGGTGCTCGTGGTGGACGACTGCAGCAGCCTGTTCTCCGTGCCCAAGAACCTGCTCTATCTGACCAGGCTGAAGCAGTTGGAGCTGACTGCGTGTGGCAAGCTGAGGCGAGCTCCTGAGTTCTTGCCGGGGTCGCTGGAAATCCTAAGCTTGGGGAGTGGCGCTCAGCAGGTGATGCATCTGCCGGGCACCTACTCTCTGCCACGCCTCAAGAGAGCAAGCTTGAACATGGTCATCTTCCCAGCTGCACTGTCCGGCAGCCTATCTGCATTGGAGCACTTGCATGTGGTGTTGGCGTGCGAGGAGGAGTTCCCATTCCCATCAGTGCACGTGCCTTGCCTGCGCACGCTCACACTCATCACCACCGGGCTCACACTCATCACCACCGGGCTCATAAAGCTTCCACAGTTGTCCACCTCGAGTTTGCAGGAGCTGTGTGAGATGAAACTGTTGGTGCCTGAGTTGTCACAAGTCCCAGCCACCATCGCAGCGCTCCACAAGCTCACCTACCTAGAGATCAACGCCCCCAAGCTGCCTTCCCTGCCCGATTCCATCGGGGCGCTGTCCAGATTAGGCAAGCTGATTCTCTACAACTGCAATGCGCTCCAGCACCTACCTGCGTCCCTCACGCAGCTGGCCTGCCTGCGAGAGCTGTGTGTGAACAATGCCACCATCACATGCCTTCCCGCCAGCGTCTCTCGCCTCACGCGCCTGCAGAAGCTCGACCTTGAGGGGTGCGCGCAGCTGGAAGCACTGCCTGACGACGTGGGCGAGCTGACGCTGCTGGACTGCTTGGTTTCCGGTGGCTGTGACTTGCTGCACGACAGTGAGGGCAAGATTCGTCTCGCTGGGGGAGGTACTTCGTCCCGGTGGATGTACTAGCGCTTGTTGGTGTGTCATTAGCCCTCCTAGTTGTCCACTCCAGTGACAGCAGCTGAAGATACATCCTGCATGATTACGGTACCGGTACTGCCTGCCAGCATGTTATGTAAAACTATGGTAATCTACTCATGGATGTTCTCTGTGCGGTAATACTGATTGTGAGAGTTGTGGCTTGAACCAGTCATGAGCGTCAATGATCTTTCAGTGGTGTGTACTGTGTCTCATGCACAGCATACATGCCCTCTTGCATCTGGATGCATGAGTTCCTACATAGAAAACCATGCAGGCTTCTTCCTGGAATAGAGAGGTGATGGCAGCTACGGTACTGGCTCTGCAAGACATAGGGAACGTTTACAAGGAGAGAAGGGAGAAAGTCGTGAGCACGGAGTGACAGAAGGGCATGCGCGCATGAAACGGTGGTCAGGGAGTGAAGGCAAGCACAGTGAGGGGCGACAAAGGATACAATGGCGCAGAGGGTCAAATGAAGACAAATTGCCTCTGCACATGCACATGCATGCACAACGTCGCCACCAACGTTGTTAAAGCAACACCAGATGCAGCCTACAATGTAAACGGAGGTGTAGCAGGACAGAAGCCTGCTGCCATGCTGCCATGATATGCTACCGTTGTGAAAGAGCTATGGTGATATGCTGCACTTTAACCACCCAGTCCTCGCCCCCCCCCCTGCCCTCCATGCCACCACCACCCACTCCACTGCTGCTCTCACCTGCTGCTCACACGCCCACGCCTCACCATGCCCCACAAACACGTGCTTGCTCCCCTGCCCCCTCTCTCAACTCTCTCCGACCTCCCTGCTCGTTTGTTCCTCTCTCCCCATTGCCCTCCTCGCCTCACCTCTACCCGCCCTGCTCGCCCCCACTGCTGCCCCACCTGCTGCAGCACGTAGCATCGCTGCAGCTTAGCGGCCACTCGTGACGTGCGTGCATGAATGGCCTCGCGAGTCACATGCTGTGCTGCACTGCTCGTCTGCATCCACGTGCACGCATCGATGCTCCGTTGGGCCCAGGCGGCATACATCTGCCACGGCGCCAACGTGGAAGCCGGAAACGTAATGCACACAGGCAAGGAAGTGGGCGGAGGGAGGAGAGGGTGGGGGAAAAAGGGGGAGGTGTAAATCAGAGAAAGTGGGACGGCGAAAGGTTGCAAAGCAAGAAGCAAGAGCAAGCGAGGGAGGTGCGAGGAAGAGAGTGGGCATTGTGTGCTGGACCTGGTGTGTGCTGCACCTTGTGTGTGCTGCACCTAGTGCGTGCCAAGGCAGAAATGTAGCCCCGGCACACAGAAAGGACCCAGTAATTGGCTGAGGTTTTATTACAGAAAGCGTCTTAGCTGCCGCCTCGTCAGCCGGAGAGGGGCAGTCAACAGTGAGGAAACAGCCGTGGGGGTAACAATCAGGTGGAGGACCAGAGGCAGCACAGACACTCAACTGCCTCGGCTGAAAGAGCTGACTCACTTCAAGGGCAAATGCTGCCCGGCTTGCGCATAATATGCTATCACTTCCTTCGCTGCTGCCCCTCATTTTGCCCGTGGGGTGTAGGAGCGAGACAGGCAGGCAGGGGACAGGGGTGTAGCAGGTGCGGCCAATCACTATGTTTCTCACAGCAGCGCCACTGGCGGCACAGTCTCAGCAAGGCATCATCGCCTTGGCGAGGCACATCCGATCATAGTCCGGCTTGACCTTTGCGGTGACGTACGCTCCGCACACACTGGCACATCGCACGCCCAGCCATTCCCATCACCCCGCGCGCATTCCACGGAGAATGCGCACGGGACCCAATCATCGTAACCTCGCGCGTAACCCGTGTCTTCGGGACCCATTCCCATCACCCCGGACGCGACACGGGTTATGAAGAACCTGGCGTTGGGGAAGGCGATTAGGGTTAGGGGAGCGTAAGGAGACTGGAGTAACGGGAAGAGGGGTAGGGGAGTGGGGATGGGAAGGGGGAAGGAGGAGAGGACAAGAGATAAGGCAGTGTAAGTAAAAGCGGAGTGCGGAATGGTAAGAAGGGGGGTATTGGCGAGCAGTGTGAGTGTGCGAATGGAGGCGAGAGGACATGGGAACAGCAAGCAGCAGTGGAGCTGGATGGGTCAGGATGAGGGTAGGGTGGGAAGGGAGGACATAGGCATGGGTGGATAACCGCAGGGTGTTTTGCGCGGATACACTCTTTTCAGCACCCCCATCACCAGTGGTCCCTCATAGGGCTTGGCGCGACTCTCACATGCGTCGTCTCCCCACAGTACTCTGCCCATGCAACCCTCGAACGAATACCGCGAGTTACCTACTCACGGGAAAAAGGCAGTCAAAAGAAGGCCTGCGAGCCATGATACTCGGTTCGTTAGCGATATACAGTCCGAATTCCTTCGGTGGGTCTAGGGTCCTGGATCCCGGATCGGCGGAATCGGATCCAGCCACGGCACGGTCGACTGTGTCCGGCAGCAGCGCTGGCGTAGCTTAAGGCACCCTCCAAGGGCGAGAGGCCGACCAAGGAGGCGCGAAACCGAGGCGTCATGTTTGGAGGGCAGTCGGGGGAGGGATTCCATGCTGATGTTGCCGACGAAACAATGTGCGCGAATCAAACCGATGCGCCGCCGACGAAGCGGAACGTACTGGATACAGGATCAAGGTGATAGCTACTTCCGTGCCGCTACCAGCAGGGAGAAACAGAGTTGCGCTAACCAAGCAGATGGACGTACGCAGAAGGACATCGCCTATTTGGAAACAAAGAACCACAACGAGGAAAAGAAAAAGTTTTCATACCATTGGCTACGCCGCTAGTAGAAACTGTAGTGGCACGCCGGAACTGCTCAGACTGTAATAACGTGGCTGCTGCCAGGACTAGTGTAATGAATATACATTCATTACTGTAGAGGCTGCTCCTAGCGAGGACAGCCCGAGCACTTCGCGTCAGGAAGGCTCGGCCTACACTTTCGTACCGAACCAGCGCCGAGTCGCTCCGCACCAATCGCGACACATCCAACCCTCGCACGTCACGAGGTTCTCGCCTAGCACGATTTCGACCCTATAAATGCTCGTCTCTTTATCATTCTCGGCATTCTGTAATTCATTCTCTTTATAGAAGTCTTCCGCGCACTCTGTCTAGTAAAACTCATAACAACTAGCGTATGGAGAAGACACACAACCATCCATCGCTCCCATAATGAATTTCTCGACATGCGAGGAACTGCACACGATTTCTGCCAGCCCATTCCGCAACACTGCCATATTCCCCCTCTTCCCCTTCCCATCCTCTCCCGCAATTGGTTCCGCAGTCCCAGCGCAAACTAGATCCGCCGCAAAGTTCCAACCTCAGCCACCTCCGTCTTCCCGTCAATTTCGAGGTCGCCTTGCCTCGCTTGCGACTGTAACCACAGCACATAACCAATCACAGTCACATACCGTCCTTCCGTTACCTTCACCAATTTCGTCTGGGTTTCCCTACACTAGCTTTCCCCGCCACCCCGCTCTTCCACTGCGGAAAATGCAGATCAGATCGAAGAGAGCTTTGAAGCACAGCACTCCATCGCCTGGAATAACATAGATCTATCGAGCACGACGGCCTGCCACAGCAGTAGTCACACCATGCGTCGCACATACATCAACGATCTGTCAGACGACCTGCTCGTTAGAATCTTCTGGAGCTCCAAAGAACCCTACATTACTCGTCAGCCCATAAACAACAACGTTGATACAACGCTATTCGGCTTGCCAGGGCCGAGGTACTCCTGCGAAAACCCGTATGGTGAAGAGCTCACCACCTCCGATGGCTACTTGCTAGCATTGTCGCATCGGAACGACAACAGTAATAGAACGACCATTGCTAGCAACAGTCCGTTGTCAGCTCCTGCCACGCGCACAGACGCGGCCTACAATCTCCTCATCGCCGCCGTCTGCTCGCGCTGGCGTCGCCTGGCGCGCCGGCACGTCTCCATGCTCGTCGTGAAGAAGAACCGCGTCGTTCCGCTCGCAGATCTCACCGCGGCCGTCGCGTGCTTCCCTCGCCTCTCGCACGTGCATCTGAGCGACAACGGCGTCGAAAGCATCGACGACGCCTTCCTCGCTCACCTCGCCGCTGCGTGCCCGAAGCTCGTGTCGCTGCACGTGGGCAAGGGCATGACGAAGCAGTGGAACCGGGGGGGCGGGGATGGCTTTCCGGTGACGGCGCCTGGTGTGGACCGTTTCGTGCGTAGCTGCACGCAGCTGCAGCACCTCTCGCTCTACTGCGTGCATCCGTACGAGTACCTCTCGGCGTCCCTCGCCAACCTCGCGCACCTGCGCACCCTCGGCCTCACCCACGCCGTACCTCTCCAGGTCCCGGGGTTCACGCGCTTGACGTCGCTCACCGCGCTCGCCCTCGACATTCCCGAGGACGCGGATCTCGATCTCACGACCCTCGCGCGGCTCCCGGCCTTCGCCACCCTCTCCTTGTCCAACGCGACGCGGAACCAACGGGGAAGCGTGGACGAGCTCCCGTTCTCGCTGGCGCAGGTGCCGTGGCTGAGAGCGCTCGAGCTCGACCCGTGCAGCCCGCCATTCGACGTGCTGTTCCCGCCAGGACTGTCTTTCAGCCATCTGCAGCGGCTGCTCCTGAAAGGCTGCGAGGGGCTGGAGCGACTCCCAGACGACATGGGCGAGCGCCTGCCACGCCTTCGAGACCTCAACATCTGCGAGTGCAAGAAGCTGCACGAGCTGCCCGAGCAGTTCACCGCGCTCAGCTGCTTGTAGCAGCTCACCATTTCCTCCTGCGGCATCGACCGCCTGCCTGAGAGCTTTGGATGGCTGCCCGCGCTGAAGACGTTGACGCTGTCGCACGTGCAGATGAGGGGCCTCCCGCAGTCGTTCCACCAGCTCACCTCCCTGGAGGTTTTTAATTTACTTCACTGCGGTACCTCTTTCAGATTCCCTGCAGCGTTCGGTGAGCTGACAGCCGTGCGGTGCCTCGTCATTCTCAAGGGCCCTTACTCGACGCTCCCCAACGACATTAGCGGGCTCACCAACCTGCACACGCTCCACCTCAGCTCGAGTTTCCCGCAGCAGCTGCTGCCATCGTCCTTGGTGCGCCTGACCTCCCTCACCAGGCTGGAGCTGGTGGAGTGTGGGATAGTGGAGCTGCCAGGGGACATCGGGAGGCTGAGCAACCTGAGGGAGCTGATCATCCAGCCCTTCTCCGACATCAAGGAAATACCCGACTCCCTCACAGACCTCGTCAACCTGGAGCTTCTCAAAGTGCGCGCCTGCCGCAACCTCTCGTCCTTCCCCACCACCTTGAGCAGCCTGTCAAGGCTCAAGGAGCTGGCGCTCGCCAAGCTCCCTCAGCTGCCACACCTCCTGCTATCGCTGCCGCATTCCCTCGAGATCCTCTCCCTGGGAACCTACCAGCGCCTCACCGCGTTTCTGGAAATCCCTGCTCTGCCCAGGCTGAGAAGCTTGAGCCTCGTAAGTGTGGGCTGCATGCGCGGGCTGGTCCCGGGCATGGTTCTGCCTGCCATGGAGCACGTGGAGCTGTCGCTGGTGGGCGAGGCCGAGGACCTCCCACTGCCCCTAGAGTTGCTGCCCAACCTCCGCAGCATCAAAATCGCAAGTGCTGGGCGCCTCAAGAGCTTTCCAAAGAAGTATGTTCCAGTGTTGCAGCGACTGCAGCGCATTCACATCAACCAGGCTGTCAAGTTGAGGGAGCTCACAGAGAGTGTCACCGCGCTGCACCGCCTCACATCCATTGAGATCCATGCTCCCGAGTTCTCCTCTCTACCGGATGGCATCGGCGTCTTGTCTCGACTGCGCCGGCTGAATCTGGCCAACTGCTCCGCACTTGCAGAGCTGCCGGCTTCCCTCACACAGCTCTCCTGCCTGCATGAGCTGAACCTGCGCTGCACCTCACTGCACTCCCTGCCTGCCCCACCACTTTGGACGGCTGGTTCGGCTCAGGACTCTTGACCTGCATGGGTGCAAGCAGCTGGTAGCGTTGCCAAGGGATATCTCCCAGCTCACGATGCTTCATAGCTTGACCATCACAGGGTGTGCTGATGCCCTTGACACTGAGTGCCTTGACGGCATGCGTGGATTGCATGTTGCTAAGATCACGGTTCTGGGGCTTGGACACCAAGTGAAGTGTGGACACTTTGGTAGCAATGAACACGTCTGATTGGCTGCCATGCTCAGCAACTTGTGTGGTGACCAATGATCGGGTGTGTTTACACGTCACTGAGGGAAAAAATTGGTTCTTGGTGTCCAAGCTTCGGCCAGAACCGTGACCTAAGACCTTTTATGACTACTCGGAGTAAGCATAGATTGCTAGAGTAGTGCTTGGGTGGTGAAGAGGTTGGACGCATCCAAGGTGGGATAGCTGACTTGACTCCACTCAATGCATATTCCCACAATGCTTGTTCCTGGCCCTTCACGTGCTTTCATTTCAGCACAGTATTTGTAGCCATGCCATGAGAATAATCTTGTCCCGCATGCGTGAAACCACCTTAGTCGGAGGCAAACAAGATTCTGTCAAACGTAGGGACTCAGGAAGTTAGGAAGAGGAGGGGTTTCAGTTTAAAGAGAAGAATGGTGGCAAGTGCAGGCTAGGTGCACCACCAATAGGGTAGGCAAAGAAGCTACACTTAGTAAGTAGATCGTCGACACACCCCTGCCTGCATCAACAACTGGTTACAACAACACCCACTCAAGGGGTCCACCATTGGAGCAGGAGAAGGCAGATAAGAGAAATGTAGAGCGGAAGATACGGTGGCAGGCCAGTGCAGCGTTGGCAGATTCAACGGCGACTGATAGCGGCGCCAGGTGCGGCGGCTACAGCAGGCAGTGACGGGCCGACGGCTGATGCAGCGACGGCAGGTGCAGTGGCAGGAGGTGCAGCGATGGGCAGGTGCAGTGGCAGCAGGTGCAACGGCTGGCGCTGTAGGCTCAGGGCCACCCCCGCAGCCGCCCCCACACAGCGTCAGCCGTTGCAGCAGCGCGGCAGGCGCCAGCTGAGCGCGGCAGCAGGGAGCATGCAGGTCCTCCCAGGGCACGGCTGGCGACATGGGAGCACTCGCCAACCTGCACAGCCTCTTCCTGAAGTCGTACAGCACACGTTCACTGCTGCCGCCCTCCTTCACGCAGCTGGCATCGCTCACACGGCTGGAGCTCCACGAGTGCCCTCATGCACTGCGTCTCAACGCATGTAGACTTGGTCCTGTAACGGAGGTTGGAATGGAATGGCAGCCACTGGTTGCTGCAAGAAAGTTCAAAGGAAATAAGGTAGAAACTTCAGAGCAAGGAGTGGCAAAAGGTTTGCGGGGATGAATAGATTTCAGGAACAGCAGGTGAGAACAGCAGGTGAGAGCAGCAGGTGAGAACAGCAGGTGAGAGCAGCAGGTGAGAACAGCAGGTGAGAACAGCAGGTGAGAACAGCAGGTGAGAACAGCAGGTGAGAACAGCAGGTGAGAACAGCAGGTGAGAACAGCAGGTGAGAGCAGCAGGTGAGAGCAGCAGGTGAGAACAGCAGGTGAGAGCAGCAGGTGAGAACAGCAGGTGAGAGCAGCAGGTGAGAACAGCAGGTGAGAACAGCAGGTGAGAGCAGCAGGTGAGAACAGCAGGTGAGAGCAGCAGGTGAGAACAGCAGGTGAGAGCAGCAGGCGAGAGTAGCAGGCGAGAGCAGCAGGTGAGAGCAGCAGGTGAGAACAGCAGGTGAGAGCAGCAGGTGAGAGCAGCAGGTGAGAACAGCAGGTGAGAGCAGCAGGTGAGAACAGCAGGTGAGAGCAGCAGGTGAGAACAGCAGGTGAGAACAGCAGGTGAGAACAGCAGGTGAGAACAGCAGGTGAGAACAGCAGGTGAGAACAGCAGGTGAGAGCAGCAGGTGAGAACAGCAGGTGAGAGCAGCAGGTGAGAACAGCAGGTGAGAGCAGCAGGTGAGAGCAGCAGGTGAGAGCAGCAGGTGAGAACAGCAGGTGAGAGCAGCAGGTGAGAGCAGCAGGTGAGAACAGCAGGTGAGAGCAGCAGGTGAGAACAGCAGGTGAGAGCAGCAGGTGAGAGCAGCAGGTGAGAACAGCAGGTGAGAGCAGCAGGTGAGAACAGCAGGTGAGAACAGCAGGTGAGAACAGCAGGTGAGAGCAGCAGGTGAGAACAGCAGGTGAGAGCAGCAGGTGAGAGCAGCAGGTGAGAACAGCAGGTGAGAACAGCAGGTGAGAGGTGTTAGGAGTGTTGTGAGAAAGACTTATGTGGGATGGAGTGGTGTGGAGTTGCGAGATGGAGTGGGGCGAGACGGATTGGTGTCAAATGGAATGCGACATCATAGGAGGGGAGCAATCCGAGATAAGGTAACGAAAGATAAAACGTGCTTTGAAGGCTCTCAACTTTCAGAGCTAGTCAGCTGCATTGACTTGTGAGCGATCCACCGTGTGTGTCGCCACGAGTTATAAGAGTCAGTGGCTGCAGCGCCAATCTTACCCCACTGAAACCCCAAGAAGAAAGCTGCTGGCTAGACAAGAGGACGCATGCTTTGAATCAAATGGGACGGTGGCTTCCGCCCTGCCCAGTCTGCTCCCTCCCCTTGAAAGTTACCCCAGCTAGAGAAAATGCAGGTGGCGGCGTGGTGAGTAGACTGTTAACAATGCAACTGCTGAACATCTGGCGATGAATGTTCCTCCCAGCACCAACTCACCTCCTTCACCCAGCAAAGACCAGCTGCAGTGTACCATTATACCCCAACTCATTCCTTGCCCCACGCGCCTCCTTCACCCAGCAGTGATCCCACTTCCTTCTGTTCTCCTGTTCCCAGCAGAAAACTGCCACAAAACCAGTAAGCAACCGCGGGGGCAATCAGCAGCCAGCACCGTTGGCCTGCGCCGCAGCGGAAAGGGAGGGCATGGGGAGCGGAGGCGGCAGTGCCTTGCTTGCCAGTCAGTGCCTTGCTTGCCAGTCAGTGCCTTGCTTGCCAGTCAGTGCCTTGCTTGCCAGTCAGTGCCTTGCTTGCCAGTCAGTGCCTTGCTTGCCAGTCAGTGCCTTGCTTGCCAGTCAGTGCCTTGCTTGCCAGTCAGTGCCTTGCTTGCCAGTCAGTGCCTTGCTTGCCAGTCAGTGCCTTGCTTGCCAGTCAGTGCCTTGCTTGCCAGTCAGTGCCTTGCTTGCCAGTCAGTGCCTTGCTTGCCAGTCAGTGCCTTGCTTGCCAGTCAGTGCCTTGCTTGCCAGTCAGTGCCTTGCTTGCCAGTCAGTGCCTTGCTTGCCAGTCAGTGCCTTGCTCGCCACTCAGTGCCTTGCTCGCCACTCAGTGCCTTGCTTGCCAGTCAGTGCCTTGCTTGGCAGTCAGTGCCTTGATTGCCACTCAGTGCCTTGCTTGCCAGTCAGTGCCTTGCTTGCCAGTCAGTGCCTTGCTTGCCAGTCAGTGCCTTGCTTGCCAGTCAGTGCCTTGCTTGCCAGTCAGTGCCTTGCTTGCCAGTCAGTGCCTTGCTTGCCAGTCAGTGCCTTGCTTGCCAGTCAGTGCCTTGCTTGGCAGTCAGTGCCTTGCTTGGCAGTCAGTGCCTTGATTGCCACTCAGTGCCTTGCTTGCCAGTCAGTGCCTTGCTTGCCAGTCAGTGCCTTGCTTGCCAGTCAGTGCCTTGCTTGCCAGTCAGTGCCTTGCTTGCCAGTCAGTGCCTTGCTTGCCAGTCAGTGCCTTGCTTGCCAGTCAGTGCCTTGCTTGCCAGTCAGTGCCTTGCTTGCCAGTCAGTGCCTTGCTTGCCAGTCAGTGCCTTGCTTGCCAGTCAGTGCCTTGCTTGCCAGTCAGTGCCTTGCTTGCCAGTCAGTGCCTTGCTTGCCAGTCAGTGCCTTGCTTGCCAGTCAGTGCCTTGCTTGCCAGTCAGTGCCTTGCTTCGCAGTCAGTGCCTTGTTTGCCACTCAGTGCCTTGCTTGCCAGTCAGTGCCTTGCTTGCCAGTCAGTGCCTTGCTTGCCAGTCAGTGCCTTGCTTGCCAGTCAGTGCCTTGCTTGCCAGTCAGTGCCTTGCTTGCCAGTCAGTGCCTTGCTTGCCACTCAGTGCCTTGCTTGCCACTCAGTGCCTTGCTTGCCAGTCAAGCCTTTGCTTGCCAGTCAGTGCCTTGCTTGCCAGTCAGTGCCTTGCTTGCCAGTCAGTGCCTTGCTTGCCAGTCAGTGCCTTGCTTGCCAGTCAGTGCCTTGCTTGCCAGTCAGTGCCTTGCTTGCCAGTCAGTGCCTTGCTTGCCACTCAGTGTCTTGCTTGCCACTCAGTGTCTTGCTTGCCAGTCAGTGCCTTGCTTGCCAGTCAGTGCCTTGCTTGCCAGTCAGTGCCTTGCTTGCCAGTCAGTGCCTTGCTTGCCAGTCAGTGCCTTGCTTGCCAGTCAGTGCCTTGCTTGCCAGTCAGTGCCTTGCTTGCCAGTCAGTGCCTTGCTTGCCAGTCAGTGTCTTGCTTGCCACTCAGTGCCTTGCTTGGCAGTCAGTGCCTTGATTGCCACCCAGTGCCTTGCTTGCCAGTCAGTGCCTTGCTTGCCAGTCAGTGCCTTGCTTGCCAGTCAGTGCCTTGCTTGCCAGTCAGTGCCTTGCTTGCCAGTCAGTGCCTTGCTTGCCACTCAGTGCCTTGATTGCCACTCAGTGCCTTGCTTGCCAGTCAGTGCCTTGCTTGCCAGTCAGTGCCTTGCTTGCCAGTCAGTGCCTTGCTTGCCAGTCAGTGCCTTGCTTGCCAGTCAGTGCCTTGCTTGCCAGTCAGTGCCTTGCTTGCCAGTCAGTGTCTTGCTTGCCACTCAGTGTCTTGCTTGCCAGTCAGTGCCTTGCTTGCCAGTCAGTGCCTTGCTTGCCAGTCAGTGCCTTGCTTGCCAGTCAGTGCCTTGCTTGCCAGTCAGTGCCTTGCTTGCCAGTCAGTGCCTTGCTTGCCAGTCAGTGCCTTGCTTGCCAGTCAGTGCCTTGCTTGCCAGTCAGTGTCTTGCTTGCCACTCAGTGCCTTGCTTGGCAGTCAGTGCCTTGATTGCCACCCAGTGCCTTGCTTGCCAGTCAGTGCCTTGCTTGCCAGTCAGTGCCTTGCTTGCCAGTCAGTGCCTTGCTTGCCAGTCAGTGCCTTGCTTGCCAGTCAGTGCCTTGCTTGCCAGTCAGTGCCTTGCTTGCCAGTCAGTGCCTTGCTTGCCAGTCAGTGCCTTGCTTGCCAGTCAGTGCCTTGCTTGCCAGTCAGTGCCTTGCTTGCCAGTCAGTGCCTTGCTTGCCAGTCAGTGCCTTGCTTGGCAGTCAGTGCCTTGATTGCCACTCAGTGCCTTGCTTGCCACTCAGTGTCTTGCTTGCCAGTCAGTGCCTTGCTTGCCAGTCAGTGCCTTGCTTGCCAGTCAGTGCCTTGCTTGCCAGTCAGTGCCTTGCTTGGCAGTCAGTGCCTTGCTTGCCACTCAGTGCCTTGCTTGCCATTCAGTGCCTTGCTTGCCACTCAGTGCCTTGCTTGCCAGTACGTGCCTTGCTTGCCAGTCAGTGCCTTGCTTGCCAGTCAGTGCCTTGCTTGCCAGTCAGTGCCTTGCTTGCCAGTCAGTGCCTTGCTTGCCAGTCAGTGCCTTGCTTGCCAGTCAGTGCCTTGCTTGCCAGTCAGTGCCTTGCTTGCCAGTCAGTGCCTTGCTTGCCACTCAGTGCCTTGCTTGCCACTCAGTGCCTTGCTTGCCACTCAGTGCCTTGCTTGCCACTCAGTGCCTTGCTTGCCACTCAGTGCCTTGCTTGCCACTCAGTGCATTGCTTGCCACTCAGTGCCTTGCTTGCCACTCTATGCCTTGCTTGGCAATCAGTGCCTTGCTTGCCACTCAGTTCCTTGCTTGCCAGTCAGTGCCTTGCTTGCCAGTCAGTGCCTTGCTTGCCAGTCAGTGCCTTGCTTGCCAGTCAGTGCCTTGCCTGGCAGTCAGTGTCTTGCTTGGCAGTCAGTGCCTTGCTTGCCACTCAGTGCCTTGCTTGCCACTCAGTGCCTTGCTTGGCAATCAGTGCCTTGCTTGCCAGTACGTGCCTTGCTTGCCAGTCAGTGCCTTGCTTGCCAGTCAGTGCCTTGCTTGCCAGTCAGTGCCTTGCTTGCCAGTCAGTGCCTTGCTTGCCAGTCAGTGCCTTGCTTGCCAGTCAGTGCCTTGCTTGCCAGTCAGTGCCTTGCTTGCCAGTCAGTGCCTTGCTTGCCAGTCAGTGCCTTGCTTGCCAGTCAGTGCCTTGCTTGCCAGTCAGTGCCTTGCTTGCCAGTCAGTGCCTTGCTTGCCACTCAGGTCCTTGCTTGCCAGTCAGTGCCTTGCTTGCCAGTCAGTGCCTTGCTTGCCACTCAGCCACTCAGTGCCTTGCTTGCCAGTCAGTGCCTTGCTTGCCAGTCAGTGCCTTGCTTGCCAGTCAGTGCCTTGCTTGCCAGTCAGTGCCTTGCTTGCCAGTCAGTGCCTTGCTTGCCAGTCAGTGCCTTGCTTGCCAGTCAGTGCCTTGCTTCGCAGTCAGTGCCTTGCTTGCCACTCAGTGCCTTGCTTGCCACTCAGTGCCTTGCTTGCCACTCAGTGCCTTGCTTGCCACTCAGTGCCTTGCTTGCCACTCAGTGCCTTGCTTGCCACTCAGTGCATTGCTTGCCACTCAGTGCCTTGCTTGCCACTCTGTGCCTTGCTTGCCAGTCAGTGCCTTGCTTGCCAGTCAGTGCCTTGCTTGCCAGTCAGTGCCTTGCTTGCCAGTCAGTGCCTTGCTTGCCAGTCAGTGCCTTGCTTCGCAGTCAGTGCCTTGCTTGCCACTCAGTGCCTTGCTTGCCACTCAGTGCCTTGCTTGCCACTCAGTGCCTTGCTTGCCACTCAGTGCCTTGCTTGCCACTCAGTGCCTTGCTTGCCACTCAGTGCATTGCTTGCCACTCAGTGCCTTGCTTGCCACTCTGTGCCTTGCTTGCCAGTCAGTGCCTTGCTTGCCAGTCAGTGCCTTGCTTGCCAGTCAGTGCCTTGCTTGCCAGTCAGTGTCTTGCTTGGCAGTCAGTGCCTTGCTTGCCACTCAGTGCCTTGCTTGCCACTCAGTGCCTTGCTTGGCAATCAGTGCCTTGCTTGCCAGTACGTGCCTTGCTTGCCAGTCAGTGCCTTGCTTGCCAGTCAGTGCCTTGCTTGCCAGTCAGTGCCTTGCTTGCCAGTCAGTGCCTTGCTTGCCAGTCAGTGCCTTGCTTGCCAGTCAGTGCCTTGCTTGCCAGTCAGTGCCTTGCTTGGCACTCAGTGCCTTGGGGCGGCCATCTGTGTAGGGGTGGAGGGGTGGATGGAGGGGGAGGAGTAGGGGAGGGAGAGGGTGTAGGGATGGGCGGGGGGCATGCGCTGGAGAAAGAGTACATCAAATAAGACCCCACAAGTCATTTTTAGCACATTTAGGATAAGACCCCCGGGTCTTCTAACTGGGAGATCACGGTACCTTATGGTTCCCCACTCAGAGCGTGTTTCTACGGCCTCGTATCAGGCAACCTCATACCGTATCAGGTTCCTGGGCCCTGGCCTGTATCAGGTTCCTGGGCTATACTATACTGTACATGTGTTTCTGTTGAGACCCCATCGTTTCCCGCAGTCCCATGTCACTTTGGTTCTGTTCGACATTTTGGGTGTGAGTGAGTTGATGATCGATTTTAAATAATCAATACAATAAACAATCAGGGACAAGAATAGAGGCATGGCGGATGGTTAGCGGAGACGAGCAGCAGCCTATCCCCAACCACATCCATGGCTGGGTGCAGCAGCCCATTCACCCGCCTGCCCACCACCCCCACCAGCCTCCGCTCCTCCACTGTCTCCCCCTCGCTCCTCCCACTGCCCACTCCACCACCGCCGCCCTCACACTCCATGGTCCTCGCAATGCAGTCCTGACGCCCCTCGCCCTCCTGCCCATCCACACCCTCGTCCGTTTCATACCCCTCCTCTCTTCCATAACCCACCTCTCCCCCCAGCTCCCCCTCACCGCCCTCATCAGACCCCTCAGCCGCACTGCTGTGCCATTCCCGGGGACGGAGCACCACTGCTGCTTCTTGCTCTGCCCCTCCGCTCTCTCCCCCCCTCACCGCCGCAGGGGCTCGGGTGTCTGCTGCTGCCCTCACATCACACCTGCCCCTATCTTCCCTCCCCTGCCCTGCCCTTTGCTGCAGGTAACCCCGCCCCCGCACCTCATACCCCAAATCCCTGCCCGCACCCGTGCCTGCCCCCGCCCCTCCGCCCCGCTGCGCCGCGCGGTGCAGGCGGAACACGTGCACGCCGCCCGCATGCAGCGCAAACACCCGCCCCGCGTGCACGCGCACGGCCAGCAGCGGCCCTCTGCTGGCGCGCGGCACGTGCGCGTCCAGGTGGTACCGCTCGCCCTCCCGCCCCGTGCTGCACTCTATGTGCTGTGGGGTGAGGGCAGGGGGTGGGAGGGCGAATGGGGAGAGGACCTGAGAGAGTGTGGGAGAGGGACGGTGGAGGGGAGGCAGAGAGACGAAATGGTGATTGCAGTGGCGGAAGGAGTGTGGTGGCCCACGTGCTCTCTCCTTCTCACCACGTGCACTCACCTCTCCTCCCACGTGCACTCACCTGCACGGCGGCAAAGTCTTCATGCGGCAGCGAGGGCAGAGCCACAAAGAGAGACGTGCCGGCGAAACACATGGCGTCTGGTAGAGGGAGCGGTGGGGGAGGTGGACAGGTGAGCAGATGGCGATGATGGTGGGCGGTGATGATGGGGGGCGGCGATGATGGTGGGCGGTGATGATGGGGGGCGGCGATGATGGTGGGCGGTGATGATGGGGGGCGGTGATGATGGTGGGCGGTGATGATGGGGGCGGCGATGATGGTGGGCGGTGATGATGGGGGGCGGTGATGATGGTGGGCGGTGATGATGGGGGGCGGTGATGATGGTGGGCGGTGATGATGGGGGGCGGTGATGATGGTGGGCGGTGATGATGGGGGGCGGTGATGATGGTGGGCGGTGATGATGGGGGCGGTGATGATGGGGGCGGTGATGATGGTGGGCGGTGATGATGGGGGCGGTGATGATGGGGGGCGGTGATGATGGGGGGCGGGGATGATGGGGGGCGGTGATGATGGGGGGCGGTGATGATGGTGGGCGGTGATGATGGGGGGCGGTGATGATGGTGGGCGGTGATGATGGTGGGCGGTGATGATGGGGGGCGGTGATGATGGTGGGCGGTGATGATGGGGGGCGGTGATGATGGGGGGGCGGTGATGATGGTGGGGCGGTGATGATGGGGGGCGGTGATGATGGGGGGCGGTGATGATGGGGGGCGGGGATGATGGGGGGCGGTGATGATGGGGGCGGTGAGGATGGTGGGCGGTGATGATGGGGGGCGGTGATGATGGTGGGCGGTGATGATGGGGGGCGGTGATGATGGGGGGCGGTGATGATGGGGGGGCGGGGATGATGGGGGCGGTGATGATGGGGGGCGGTGATGATGGTGGGCGGTGATGATGGGGGGCGGTGATGATGGTGGGCGGTGATGATGGTGGGCGGTGATGATGGGGGCGGTGATGATGGTGGGCGGTGATGATGGGGGGCGGTGATGATGGGGGGCGGTGATGGATGGTGGGCGGTGATGATGGGGGGCGGTGATGATGGGGGGGCGGTGATGATGGGGGGCGGGATGATGGGGGGCGGTGATGATGGGGGGGCGGTGATGATGGTGGGGCGGTGATGATGGGGGGCGGTGATGATGGTGGGCGGTGATGATGGTGGGCGGTGATGATGGGGGCGGTGATGATGGTGGGGGGGATGATGGGGGGCGGTGATGATGGTGGGCGGTGATGATGGTGGGCGGTGATGATGGGGGGCGGTGATGATGGGGGGGGG